GGCTTTCTTTTTTTTTTTTTTTTTTTTTTTTTTTTTTTTTTTTTTTTTTTTTTTTTTGGTTTTTCGAGACAGGGTTTCTCTGCGTAGCTTTGCGCCTTTCCTGGAGCTCACTTGGTAGCCCAGGCTGGCCTCGAACTCACAGCGATCCGCCTGGCTCTGCCTCCCGAGTGCTGGGATTAAAGGCGTGCGCCACCACCGCCCGGCTCAAGGCTTTCTTAGACTAATTAAAACTTTGTCTTAAACAAACATACACTAAGTCTAGGGGAAAGGAGTAGAAAAACATTTCCCTTCAAAACTTTCGTTTTCAAACTACAGTTTTGAAGGGAAAGCAAGGCCAACCAAATCTGTAACCAGCAGGCCAGCACAGGATAGAAGGCACAGGTAAGAGAGGTCCAGGTGTCTTCCCACTCACTCTCTGGACTCTCCCCAGTGGCGTGTACATACCTTCACTTCTCCCCATGCAGATGCCCCTAGACCTGGATTCCCTATCTCCAGAAGAGCGCCGGGCCCGATTCCGAAAACGTGAGGCTCAGCTCTTGCAGAAGAGGGAGGAAGAGCCAGAGATGATTGACAATTTTGACACTGAACGATACAAACGGTTTTGGACCAAGACCAAGAAGTAACTCTGTCAGGGCGTCACCCAGAGACATTTTGTAAGAATGGAGCGGCATCTGCCTGTAAACTACATTCTTGAAACCATAGCCTCCTGTCATTGTCTTTATGTGGAAGTCCAGCCCTGAAACCCATCACTTCTGGAAAGTATGTGCCAGTTCAAAGCCAGATTGAAAGACTCTGAAGCTAAAACAGATCAGAGGGTTTAGGGCCCATTTAGGTCAAACCTGTGGGGTTTTGTTGATTTGTTGGTTTGGTTTGGTTTGGGCTTTTCTTGGTTTTTTGAGACAGGGATTCTGTGTGTAGCCTTGGAGCCTTTCCTGGAACGCTCTGCAGGCGAGGATGTCTTTGAACTCACAGAGATCCTCCTGCCTCTGCCTCCCAAGTGCTGGAATTAAAGGCTTGTGCCACACCTCTTGGCTATTTGGGTTTTGTTTTTTAAAACAAAGTCTTACCCTGGTTGGTCTATAACTCACTAGGTAGACCAGCCCTGACTCTTCCTCCCGAGTACTGGGATTAAAGGGATATGCCATCACACTCAGCTTCAAACCTCTGGGTTTTAAACACTGCTATGAGATTAGTTGGGAAGCAGGTGGACAGTGGGCAAGCAGCACCCAGCAACTCACAGCTCTACCTGCCTACCCTAGGAACCTCCAGGTTAAATTCCTAGATCACACAGCCTGCAGGGATCTTTCTCACCGCCTCCCTTTATTGGTCCTTCCCTAAAAGGCTACTCAGGGTCAAACACTTTCCTGCCCTTGGGGACCCAGGAGTGTGGCCAAGCTGTGTGTCTTTTTTGTTTGTTTTTGAGACAGAGTTTCTCTGTGTAGGCTGTCCTGGAACTCACACTGTAGACCAGGCTGACCTTGAACTCAGATCCACCTGCCCCTGCCTCCTCGATTAAAGGTGTGCACCACCATCTGGCCAGGCTGTGTCTTGAGCTCCTAGTCTACTCCAGTCTGCAGAGTAAGTGGCCACACAAACCAAAGCCAATAAACAGCTGCCTAAACCTTTGTACATCTTGATGTTGATGTGATCCCACTGGCTTCCTCCAGATGCAACAGTGCACATAGTACCTAACTTCAAAAGCAGGCCTGTCAGAATCCAACCCTTCACGGCTGTAGTCAGTTGCTGGAGATTCTGGTTCTTACTGGAATAGGCGGCTCCTCAGGGCTGCACAGGCTTGGAACTGGTCTGGACACGTGTCCCACATCCTCCCAGCCCCATAGCCATGCTCCCCTTAGCTTCACCTAGTAAGCAGTCTGGTCAGACAGTGCAGCTCAGCTTTCTATGTCCTCAGCATACCAGGTCAGTGGTGAGGGCCCCAGACGCTGCTGTCTTGCTTTCTGGAGATCTTCCCTGGGAGATGGCTGGTTCACTCCTCTTTCACTGCGGACCACATGACTGCTGCTCCCTTACTGTACAGCTCTCCTTGGGTCCATCCGGGCCATACATCCATCTCTAGTGTGATCTTGTTCTGAGGGATATGGTTCCAGCTGTGTCTTCCAAAGCCAGGACATGAACTCAGGGCTTGTACCAGGTGCCTCACAAGCTGTTGGCAGGTACTCAGCCTGTGTTCAGAACAAAGACATCAACAAAAGTGGGGCTGTTTTCGTCTATTTTGGATGCCAGAGAGTGCCAGCTTGGGTAATCTTTCAGACTAGGGATGGATGGCAAGACCTATCATTAAGATATAGCTGTCTGTCTGTCTGTCTCTCTCTCTCTCTCTCTCTCTCATTTATTTATTTATTTATTTTATTTTATTTTATTTTATTTTTTGGCTTTCAAAGACAAGGTTTCTTTATTAACAATCCTGGCTGTTTTGGAACTCTGTAGACCAGGCTGGCCTCGAACTTAGAGATCCACCTGCCTCTGTCTTCCGAGTGTTGGGATTAAAGGCGTGCGCCACCACCGCCTGGCTCCGTTTCTCTCTTATGTTGAGGCAGGGCCCTACTAAATTGCTCAGACTAGCTTTCAAATCTCTTTGTAAGCCTAGGCAGCCCTTGAATTTCCAACCTTCCTGCTTCGGCCTCCTGGGGACCTGGATTACAGACTCTTGCCATCAGGCCTAGCTCAGACTGGGTCCTTTAATTATCAGGGTGGCATACACACTGTGGCCTGTGTGTTGTCAGAGGACAAATTGTGGAAGTTGGTTCTCTCCAACATGTGGGTCCTGGTGATCAAACTTGCTTCAGGCCAGGCGGCAGTGGCGCATGCCTTTAATCCCAGCACCTGGGAGGCAGAGGCAGGTAGAGCTCTGTGAGTTTGAGGCCAGCCTGGTCTACAGAGTGAGTTCCAGGACAGCCAGGACTGTTTCACAGAAAGAGACTGTTTCAAAAAACCACCACCACCACCAAAAAAACAAAAACTTGCTTCACCAGGCTTGGCAGCAAGAGCTAGCCACTGGGTAGCTCTATAAAGTACCAGCCTGGGTACTTTATAAATAGTAATTTATTCTCAAAGTTGCAGATTTTATACATGTTTTGTCTTGTAGAATTATATGAAGTTTCCCCAGGGACAGAAGAGTTCTTACAAGAAAGTGATCCAACTGCTCTCAAGATAGGTCCCTAAAATACTATGGTGAGATGTGGTGGTTCACATAAATATACCTTTAAGCCCAGCACTTGGGATACATAGGTAGGTGGATTTCTGTGAGGCCAGCCAGAGGTACATAGTGAACCCTATTTCAAAAACAAACTGGGAGAGGTTGGCCAAATTGCCTTTCCTGATTAACACCGGAAAAACTGGAAACCAGGGGGCTTAAGGCAGCCCAGCACTTGAGTGCAGTCTGCATGACAAGGCTTGTTTTTTTTATTTTTCACCTCCTTTGATAACAAGAGTTATGGATTTGCAGTTCAGCAGAGGAGCCTGCTTCAGAGGCCAGCATGTTCAAGGTTATATGAGTCACAACAATGTTTGTCTTCAGAAAAACATCTGAGGTATACGAACATCATTTACCCTATTCTGTAGAAGCTGAGGAAGGTCCCAGGCATTCTTATGTTCCTTACCACATTGGTTGACATTCCAATTTCTCTTTTTGAGAAATATCAACATGAGATGTTACTGTCTTCATGTCAAATTCATTATATCCTCATATAACTTTTTTTTTTTTTTTTGGTTTTTTGAGACAGGGTTTCTCTGTGTAGCTTTACGCCTTTCCTGGGACTCACTTGGTAGCCCAGGCTGGCCTCGAACTCATAGAGATCCACCTGGCTCTGCCTCCCGAGTGCTGGGATTAAAGGCATGTGCCACCACTACCCGGCTCTCATATAACCTTAATTCAAACCCCAACACAAAAAGAACCTCACCGGATGCCAGCACTGTTGAGTTTAGACAAAGGATCTGTTCTGGGTTCTAGACAGCCAATATCTCATTTTTATACTCGAGTGACACAAGGCAAGAGAGTTCTCCAGGATTCTCTTCATATGGGCATTAATCTATGAGGCTCTACCTCATTACCTCAAAGGCCCAGCCTTCAAGAACAACCCTAGTGGAAGATTTAAACATGATAATGGGGGTGTGTTTTGCCACACATCTATTACAGACAGGGCTCAGACTATAATACAGAAAAATCGCACTCATCATTTAAGCTTTAGCCCAGATACCGACTCGATCATTCATTGGCTGCCAGGTACAACTAATGATTCTTTTCAGGGCCAAATGACATTGCTAAACCTATCTTCAAAGAACTCTAGTTCTTCTTGACTTCTTGGTCATGCCCAATCAGAACAAAATGCAATTAGCTCTGTTCTTCGTACTTCGTAGGTCAGTCAAGTCTCACCTACACAGAATACAGATCACTGTGGTTTAGGGATGCTTGGGCTTTGTGGCCTCTATGTCACTTTCGTGCCACAATCTGCCACCCAGTGCACAGAAGAGTTGATCTGTTTCTTTGGCGACTTTATCCGCCCCTCACTCAGTGTTCCGGGGAGTTTTGCCACTATTTGACTGCGTTTCAGCACTGACCTGGACCTTTGTGGTTAGCGCGCCTGGCTTTCCAGGAGGCAAGGCGTCAAGCACAAGCCCTGCGGCGCCCTCCTGGTGTCACCAAACTTTGTCGGCATCCCAATCCACCGAGTCTTCTAACACAAGCGTGACACGTGAGGTGGCACAGCAGCCGTTTTTTTTCAGGGTGCTAGTGCGCAGGCACACGTGGTAATGGGATGAAGGATGCGCCTGAGGGTCTAGTTCGGACTGAACACCGGGTGCAAAGAGGAACCTACCTAGGCTGAGGCTGCCCGAGCCACACACTGCGCAGGCGCGCCGACACCTTCGTGAGCGGCGCAGGCGCGCGAGTGACGTCACGGCGGGCGTCCGGAGGCCCGGTGGTGCGGGAACCCGACGCTCGGGGCTGCGGGTACTGGGGATTGTGCAGGGTCTCCGACGCCATGTTCGGCTCCAGCCGCGGCGGGGTGCGTGGCGGGCAGGACCAGTTCAACTGGGAAGACGTGAAGACCGACAAGCAGAGGGAGAACTACCTCGGCAACTCGCTGATGGCGCCAGTGGGCCGCTGGCAGAAGGGCCGCGACCTCACCTGGTACGCGAAGGACCGTGCGCCGTGCGCTGGCCCGAGCCGTGAGGAAGAGCTGGCGGCTGTGCGCGAGGCGGAGCGCGAGGCGCTGCTGGCCGCACTGTGAGTGCCGGGGCTGCGGGGCGACTGCCAGCTCGGGGGATGGGATCTGGGTGGCTCCGGGGCGGGGCTAGATGTGGGCTGGGCGGGGAGGAAGGCCACAGGGGCGCATGCCCCCTTGATGTGCACCCCCGATCCTCGCAGCGGTTACAAGAACGTGAGGAAACAGCCCACCGGCCTGAGCAAGGAGGTGAGTCTGGGATGCGGATTGGGGGGCCGCAGGGCGGGAGGGGATCTATCTGTACCGGTCTAGAGCCTCCTGCCCCCCAACTTCCCCCAACCCCGCGTTCCCTTAGGACTTCGTGGAGATCTGCAAACGGGAAGGAGGCGACCCTGAGGAGAAGGGCGTGGACCGGCTGCTGGGCCTGGGCAGTGCCAGGTGCGGCGGGTTGGGGAGAAGCGGGCAGGACTGGGTGGTGGTCCAGAACTGTCCTCAATGCTCTGTCTTCTGCAGTGGCTCCGCAGGCCGTGTGGCACTATCCCGGGAAGACAAAGAGGCTGCCAAGCTTGGGCTGTCAGTGTTCACGGTAAACCCTGTCAACCCCAATGTTCAGGATCCTGGGCTTGGGGGTGTCTGGGAGACGTGGGGCGGGACTCCCTGGGTGTCCCTCCCCACAGCTGAATTTCTCATATAGCACCACCGCGTGGACAGCGAAGGCCCAAGCACAGCCCCATCTGCTGCCAGGAAGAAGCCCCGTGCTGAGGACAAGGCCGAACTGGAGTAGGTTGAGTCTTGAGTCCCTATTCTGCCTACTCATGTGCGTCAATGAGTCTCTTGCTGGCATCCTGTGTGAACTATGCCAGGCGTGGGCGTGAGGACACTGCACTAAGAGTGTATTCACAGGAGAGACTGGGTGACCGGTCTTTTTGAAGGACCCAAGCACTGCCTTAGCTCTTTTGGCTTTACGTAAGTTGTTGGGCCTCCACCTCCAGGCTGGATGTGCCTACCCATCCAGAAGAAGCCCAGGAGCCAGACAGTGGGATGTAGTTTCAGAAGCTGCCACTGGTGACCCAGCAGGGTGATGGTTGCAGACAGGAGGGCCAGTTTGATGGGAGGTGGAGCAGTTAAAATATGAGGCCAGAGCGGTGGCACTTGCCTTTCTTTAATCCTAGCACTTGGTAGACAGACAGGCTGATCTCTTGAGTTCCCACCAGCTGGTTTCCAGGCCTTGGGATTTAGCAATGTGTGCCTGTCTGGTTACTTTTGTGTCGACTCAACTCTGTACTTAAGTAAAATAGTGAGTTCCAGGCTACACAAGCCTGCATAGTGAGAAGCTGGCTCCCCCACCATCCCCCAAAAGGAGGCACCCAGGTTAGCAGCTTTCCAGAGGGAAGCTTAGCCTTGTGGAGTGAATGAGGAGCCTAAATTAAGCTCATTTACAAATATAAACTCACAACATGTAGACATTCCCAGTGCACAGTGCTGTGGTATGGACCCTGCCCTAGTCCCATTGCTTTCCAGTCCTTTACACTTAGACCCTTTATATTTTCTCTTGCAGTACAGAGAGCTCTAAGAAAAGCAAGAAAGAAAAGAAACACAAGAAGAAAAAACACAAGAAACACAAGAAGAAGAAAGACAAAGAATACAAAAGGGAGACTGACAGCTGCCCATCATCTCCCTCCCCTGCTCGGTAAGCTAGGCCCAACTCTACCTCAGGGGCACTAAGGAAGTGGGGGGCAAAGCTGGCCAGGCCTGTTGGGATCCCTGGTAGGGTGAGAAACCCCTTTAAGTGTCTGGTTGTCCTTGTCTTCCTAGGCCCAGACACCAGAGACATGACTCTGACTTCTCCCCCTGCTCTAAGAGGAAGCGGGGACATAGCCAGGACAGTGGAAGGAGCCCATCCCGCAAACGACAAGACAGAGGCTTTGATGACTGAGAATGTGGCTAGACCAAAGGACACCCGAGCCCTGGTTGCCCCGAGCTGGGACCCTCCCACCACCAAGCTTTGTGGGGTCTATAAAGAGTAGTCACTGGATGCCAAGTGGCTACCAGCCCCCTCCCTACTTGCTCAAACTAACCGTCCCATCCCTATCTGGGATAACGCAGGTGGTAGGATTCTGAACCAAGCTTGTTGGACTTTGGGATCTATCTCGCTATTTGGAGGCAACTTATGTGGCAACCACTCCAGGCAGCTGAGTGGGGTCCTAGGTGACCAGAGACTAGTGGTTCTGTGAAGGTAGTGCCCTTGTCTTGCCCCCATGCCAAGGAAGATATAGTTGCCCAGAAGCCTAAGGCCAGACTCCTGTTTCTGCTGTCACAGTACAGGCCCTTGAGGTTTAGGGGTGTGTGTGTGTGTATGGATATCTGGTTACTTCTACTTTTTGTATCAACCCACTTTGTACGTAAGTAAATGTATTTTAAAAGTAGAGTGTATCATCTCACTGAGGGCAGGTTAGGCTGGGATTCTGTGGCCCCAGCATGGGGCATCCATCCAGTATACCTGAAGGCACTGGGTCTAGGGACCAGAATCCTATCCTTGAGGCTGCCTTAACACCATACAAATGACCAAGGAGTTGGAAGAACACTTTTGTGGGTATAAATGCACCTGCTGTCTGCACAAGAGGTCCAGTCTGGTTCCTACCTAGGCAGAAGCAGTGGGTTCAGCAGACAAATAATAGCAATTTTAGGGCTTGTATACACACATGGGCAGACAGTAGAAATCAAGCCAGACTCTATATAGCAAGTTGTTCTCTTCTGATTGTAAAACTGTATCTGCTGGGTGGGTGTTATTTCCTGAGACTCAAGCTGTGGCTTGTACATTGACCTGTGCCCTGCAGGTGGCCACCTAAGCATGAGTGAAGATTAGTTATCTAAAACACCACCTCAAAGGAGTGAAGGTCTGTCCACTTAGGCAGGGGCCCACTCAGGACTTTGGATCTCCTAGTGGCTCATCCACCCAGAGACATGTACAATCCCAAGGCTGGCCACCTACTGAAAGGATAGGAGGCATACCTCAGTTGTCACAAAAGCACCAAGGCTGGTAGTGACCCTGAGACATAAGGGGAGCCAACAAGACACCCAGGTCTCACTGACTTCTACCAGGGCTTGGAGGGTACCTGTTTTCTCTCAAATGAAAAGGGCTCTCTTAGGAGGCAGCCTGGCAGTGGTGACACTAACACACAAGCCCATCAAATAGTTAAGAGACTTTATTCTAATAGCTATAATTACAGTGCTTGTCGAAATGAAAACTGAAAACAAGTATACAAAACAGTTGATTACTAATTGTGTATTGAAAGCAGTAAGAGGTTCCACGACACCAAATAAACCAGTTCTGAGATTTCCCCAAGATAAATTTAACAGCTCCAGCTTCTTCAGTGTTTATCAAAATACAAAAGAAAAAAGTAGAGGTCGTCTTTCGATGGCAAATCGGACCCTTGCAGGCTGAGGGAGAAAGCTACTTCACACATGGAGATGGGGGTGCTCCAGGATGTGGGTCTGGAATGGACCGACCCTCCCAGCTTGCACACGCTCCTGCTGGTGAGACCCAGGCCTCCTGCCAGCGCGTCCAAGTGGGCCCAAGAGTAAGCTGGGTATGTAGGCTGCCATCTGGCCCGGCCACACACCAAATACAAGCCGGGCCCTGCACCCCACAATGGCTCCCAGCCCACCCCTAGGTGACCATGTGAGCACAAGTACAAGCACAATGCTATGGAATGCAGGTGACCCAAAGACAGGCGAGTCACGGGGGCTCTACTGTGACCATGCAGCGGATGGTGGTTTGTCACCTTCTCTCCTGTACCCACGGGAACAGGTGATCCGATGGACTAGCATTCAGGCCATTACTGCAAAACCTACACTAGGCATAGTCTCCGTTCTGTGTGTTCAAGTGTTCTTGTCCTGTATTTTTAACTATTTTAAAAAATGCACTGAGTTTGGGTTAAAAACCAACCACCAAATGGATACTGACACCAGTCTACAGCCCAATGGCTCCCGGAGGCCAGGTGCCCCTACACCCAAATCCCTTCTCAGTACTGACAGTGAGTTGATTCTCTTTTTTACAATAAAAAAGCTAAGTAATATTGCATAGGAGTACCAGAAACTGCCTCAGTGGAAACAGAAACTATTTACATTAAATAAAAACCTGGCTGCAGGCTGCGTCTGCACATGTACAGCACGGTGCGATGCACACTGTGACCAACCCATGGAGACAGCTTCTGGCACTCAGGACCACAGAGTCGCACGTTTGCCACATGAGAGGAAAGCGGAGGGCGGAGAAGAGGAAGTGAGGGGGAGGGAGGGGTCTGGTTCACTTCTGGTTCCGGAGCTGATTGGACAGCCAGTCTAGTCCTTCATAGAGCCCGTCCCCGCTGGTGGCACAGGTGGCCTGAATGTACCAGTTCCTGTGGCGTAGAGAGTGCAGCCCCAGCTTGTCTGTGATTTCGGCCGCATTCATGGCATTGGGAAGGTCCTGAGGGAAAGGAGGAATTAGTGGCAGGGACCAGCAGCAGTCAGGCACCCGGGGCTGCCTCTCACCCACCCTCTCTCTTCCCTGACACAGGTTCTCCATCAGGGAAGGACCTTGCTGGTACCTACCTGTTTGTTGGCAAACACCAAGAGAACAGCATCCCGGAGCTCATCTTCAGCTAGCATCCTCATGAGCTCTTCACGGGCCTCATTCACGCGTTCTCTGTCATTGCTGTCCACCACGAAGATCAAGCCTGCAACACAGCCACATTACTGCACATATTGAACACTCCCCACCTGATCTACCCACAGGCTCTAGATCCAGTCCTCCCACTGGCCATGATGCTTAGTATGGCTTTTTATGCCCTGAAAGTGGTAAGGCCATCATCAGGCTCAGTGAGCAAGTACATCCCTCTGGGGCAAACGAGGAATCCAGGACAAGGATTGGCCCCTCACCTTGGGTGTTCTGGAAGTAGTGGCGCCACAGCGGCCGGATCTTGTCCTGGCCGCCCACATCCCACACAGTGAAGCTGATATTCTTGTACTCAACTGTCTCCACGTTGAAACCTGGGGGCAGGGTTACAGCTGAGTTTCCTCCGTACTCCAGAACACCAAACCCAACCTCCACCCTGGTCCTGGCCCAGCTTCTCACCAATGGTGGGAATGGTGGTCACAATTTCACCCAGCTTCAGTTTGTATAGAATTGTTGTCTTTCCTGCAGCATCCAGGCCCACCATGAGAATGCGCATTTCTTTTTTGCCAAAAAGGCCCTTGAAGAGGTTTGCAAAGATATTCCCCATGCTTGTGGACAGGTGGAAGCGATACTGGCCAGAGACCTGGGGAAGCAAGTTGTTCCAGTCCTGTTATGTGCTGCCAGTTTAGGTCCTGTGGCAGGTCAGAGACACACCTACCTAGGAGTCCCCGGCCCCAAGCCTTTTCCCATCCCTCCTAAAATCTCATGGGGGAGGGGAGATAATTCAATCCCAGGTCCCAGGTGGCAGAAAACCCTGTCCACCAGACTCACTAGGCATCTAAAGGCCACACACTAATCAAGGAAGGCACAGATACTACAGGCCAAATGTTCCATCACCTCCTGGTGACAGCAGAACAAGCCCAGAAAGAACTGTGGTGTCACCTCTCCAGGCATTTCTGTCATCCAGGTCATGAGAGACAGTTGTTAAGACAATATTCCATCTATCTCAAGCAGCCCAAGAAGGTAGAGACCCAAAAGGTAAACTGATGGCAACATATTCCCTTGAAAACCTATACAAAAGGATGCTCCTATGAGAACAGGTAAATGTGAGGATGTGTTCCTCCAAGGGCATGTACACACACTCACAAGGGCCCACCGGCAGAACAGAAATGTTAGAGATGCCAATCAACTAAGCTGGCACCAATTTACCGGAGCATATCAGATGTTAGGGGCTTTGAGAAAGGATAGTAAGGCTTTTAGGGGCTCTGGTCTCACCATCTGGTGGCCACTTTTATTCATCACTTGTTTTTCATCCAAATGAATTTTACTGCTTTCTTAAATGCTGATTGTTAACTCCTAATAGTAAAAGCAAATAGAAGGCCATAGAGCCTTCAGAAAGAGATGTACCTGTGTACTATACAAGGCTGCTAACCTCACAGGAAAACGAACAAGCATGGTGTGAGACAGGATGACAAGGCTTCCCTACATATTGTCCCTCTGTGCTACTACAACAGAACACTACAAACTGGGCAAAACCACAGATGAGCTGGACATCCCAAATCATGGCCTGATTAGGTTAGATTTTTTGGCTCTAAGATGTGGCTGGCCTTCAGCTGTATCCTCCAGAGAGAAATGCCATGATCTCATGTGGTAAGTGAGTGTGAACCTACTTTGAAAGCCCTTCTCAGGACGGCCCTCATCCATTCTTGAGGGTGGAACCTTAAGACCCAAACACCCACCGGGTGGTGGTGGTGCACGCCGCCTTTAATCCCAGCACTTGGGAGGCAGAGCCAGGCGGATCTTGGTGAGTTCGAGGCCAGCCTGGTCTACAGAGAGAGATCCAGGAAAGGCACAAAGCTACACAGAGAAAAACCCTGTCTCGAAAAACCAAAAACAAAACAAAAAACAAAAACAAACAAACAACAACAACAACAACAACAAAAAACCCCAAACACCTACCCAACATTGCACTGGGTTCAATTTCCTATATATGAACTTAGAGAATACATTCAGACCATAGTAGTATATTCAAAATGAAGGCTCCCAAAAAGCATAATAAGAAAAATATAAACACAAGAGGATGGCTGTAAATCGAACATTTGGGAGGCAGAGGCTGGAACATATACTGAGATTATCAAAGAAAAAGAAGAAGAAATAAATCTGGGTATGTTGCATCATGCCTGTAACCCCAGCACAAGGGAGGCTGAGGTTGGCAGACTTCCTCAAGTTTGATGCCAGCCTGAACTAGTGCAAGACCTTTCTTTAGAAAAACTAAAAAACAAAGCCAATGGCCAAAAGGGGTGGTGGTGGGTAGAAAGAAGTGAGAAGAAAAGAAGGAAAAGACAGGTGGACAGACAGATTGACAAAACTACAGAGAGGAGAGAGACTCTTAGCTAGGCAGGAGGAGCACATGCCTTAAGAGCTGAGGCCTGCTGCCAAAACAGTGACAATGCAGTGCTGGTGGGAGGAAGACTCTCAGGCAATACTCTTTAAAAATTCTGAGACTATGGCTCTCAACCTTTAACTCCTACCAATTACAGATAGGGAAGAATAACTAATTTCAACATAACAAGTCATCCTTTGAGGATCCAAACCAGGCAAAAGGAAGTGAGTCCAAGATGAATTAAGAAGGAACTCACTAGTTACCATAGAGCAGGGAGCACACCACTTAGCTGTTTCTTTGAGTTTTGGTGATGTGGGGAATTGGGAGAGTGAAAAAGTACAGGCAAAAATCCAAAGAGGCAACACACAATTTACTTTAAGCAAAAAAGCCCAACAGAAGCAGACGGATATCTGATCAGCAATCAGGTGTCCATGCAAAAAATTCCACATTCTAGCCAGATGGTGGTGGCGCATGCCTCTAATCCCAGCGGAGACAGGCAGATCTCTTGAGTTTGAAGCTAGCCTGGTCTACAAAGTGAATTCCAGGACAGACAGCCAGGGCTGTTATACAGAGAAACCCCACCTCACACAACAACTACAAAAAATTCCACCTTCCTTCCAAATCACAAGTGGTTATCAATGGAGAAATAGTGGTAAGCAGGGTATATATGGAAGGCTGGTGAGGCAGAGGGGGTGTAAAACAACTCTTTATGCTCAGGTAGTGTGTAGAAACCAATAGTACCTGCTATATGTAGTAGTGCTCACCTATGATCCCAGCATTTGTAAGGTTGAAACAGAGTTCAAGAATAATCAATCTTTGGTAATAAATAGTGGGCTAGTCAAGGCTAATCTGAACTACATGAGACCCTGTCTCAAAAAGAAAAGTACCTCCCCAAACCAACAACAACAAAAAACCCACAAGAGCACAGAGGGGAAGGGGTACCTGCACCCTAACAGGTCCCTACAGTAGCACAGGCAGACACCCTAAATAACTGTCCACTGGTAGGGATCTCAGCCAAGTTTGACTGCATAGCTGCATGACTGCCTCACTGTCCATGACTAATGGCGATCCAGTGATGCATTCTTGCATGTGATTGGGCATGGCCCACAACCGAGTGTGCTAGGCTAACCTGCCTTCTCTACAGAAGGGCTATGAAAACCGAAAACCACAGTGATCATTCTCCCCCCACCCCCCCCACACACAGGGTTTCTCTACGTAGTTTTGGTGCCTGTCTTGAATCTCACTCTGTAGCCCAGGCTGGCCTCAAACTCACAGAGATCCTCCTGGCTCTGCCTCCAGAGTGCTGGGATCAAAGGCGTGCGCCACTACCGCCCCGCTCCTTTCTTTTTAACAAGAATCACCAAAATGAAAAACAGTCAGAGAATTAAATGATGAGATGAGTTCCAGACTTAAGACACTCAACAAACAAGCATGTAGACACCCCTGCTCACACAGGCAGATGTAGTCAGCTCTTCTGCATTGGCATTCTTAGTGTTCTCATGGCACTACATCTACTGCTTTTAGAACAGAAAAAAACCCAAGAACGCCTCCACTGAGAGAAAAACCCCGTAGCTACATGGACTAATAATCACCACCAGGGGCTGGGCACAGGCCCTGACTGCATGATGCCCAGTCAAGGTGCTGTCACCTTCCCTCTACAAGCCCACATACAAGCCAAACCTGCTTTTCAGGTTCCTCTGCATTACTCCATTAGCAGGCAGTGAAAACAGACTTCCCAGAGAGCTCTTGCTGGTTTTTTCTGCCTCCCAAGCCACCAGAGGGAATGCCTTTAGGAAGGAAGGCCCACAACCATCAAGTTGGAATGGGGTCAAGAAAGTTCATTCTTTGGAGAGGGTAGGACAAAGGTTGAAGCAGCCTCCCCTTTGGCAACCACACTCCCCACACTGTTGTAGCAGGGCCTTCCTGGACTCTTGAGTAAAGGTGAGAACACACAGCTGAGTCCACACCTACTCAACAATGATGAATGAATGCAACCAGACTGGTTTAGCAGCTCAACAGGAGCCTGATGGGCAGCCGGGGGAGTGGGGGGTGTCCACCATCCTCAGATTCAGGGACACCCAAGCACAAGTCAGACAACCTTCTCTAAATCAGACTGTGTAGGTTTGCCATTTCTCTCCAACTGTTGACACTATTTTGAAAGAATCCCAGTAGGAAGAGAAGTTTTCTGCTCTGGGCTAAAGAATGTTCTTTCCTGAAAAGGACTCAAATTTACTACATGAATAAAAAGTTGGTGATATTTTAAGAGTTAACTCCTTTCAGGGGGCTAGAGAGATGGCTCAGTGGGTAAGAGCACTTGCTACTTTTGCAGAGGACACCAGTTCCATTCTCAGCACCCACATGGCAGTTTACAACTGTCCTTAGCTCTAGTTCCAGGAGATGTGGACCCCTCTTTTGGCCTCTGAGGGCACTGCATGATACATGCAGGCAAAACACATATATTTTTAAAATTTTTAAAAATATTTTAAAACATGGGTTTTTTTTCTTTTTTTTTTTTTTAAGAAAAAGACAAGATCTCTCACTGACCCTAGAGTGCACTAATTCAGATGGAATGGCTTAGTCAGAAAGTCCTTGTGCAATAAGTATAATTACTGACTGAGCCAACTCTTTAGTTTCTCCCTTCAGCTTTAAGACAAAAATCCACTACAGTATAAATTACATATATTAGCGGGGATGGGGGTGGGGGGTGGCGGTGCACACCTTTAATCTCTGGAATTTGGGAGGAAGAAACAGGCAGACCTCTGAGTTCAAGGCCAGCCTGATCTACAAAGTGAGTTCCAGGAAGGCTCCAAAACTACAGAGAAACCTTGTCTTGAAAAACCAAAGGGGCGGGGGGGATTACATATATTTAGTCAGGCACAGTGGCACGTACCTTGAATCTCAGCACTTGGGAATCAGAGGCAAGAGGATCTCTGTGAGTTCAAGGCTAGCCTGGTTTACATAGTGAGTTCCAGGATAGCCAGTGCTACACAGTGAGATCCTGTCTCAAAATTAGTTAATTACATATGTTCAACCACACAGACCAATAGTGTATACATACTCTCAGCTGTTATATTTGAGGGAAAATACCAAATCTGAAACTTTTCTGAAAGAACCTTAACACAATATAGAACATTTTTTAGCTGAAGTTTTTAGTAAAGAGTGCCAGTGTTCCAACAATGACACACAATCAGATACATGAAAACCTGAACCATCCCCAAACAGGATGCCTATAACTTAAAAAGGAGGCTTCTTTAGTGTCA